TATAATATAGTTACAGATTTCACTTTGATTTCTATTTTTTAAGTATTGGTTTTTTAGTTGTACGTACGAATAAAAATGTGAGAAATAGAATACTTTATTTATTCTAAGATATAGACTTAATTAATTTATATTTTAAATTATCTTTCAAAAATCAATGTGACATTCAATTCCAAGTAGTAGAAAAAATATGAGTACTATTTCTTTAATTTCTTCAGACAAGGAGCATATCAAAAGGACAAAAAATAAACAACATACTATTAGTTATTATGCAACTCTATAACTAGGCATGGTAATTACGGTGATATGAATATAATATAAAAATATAAAATTAATATAATTTAAAATTTTAATAAAAATTATATATAGATTTAATTGAAATAAATTTTTATATTTTATATTTTTCATATCAATACAAATTGTGAAATTTTTGTATAAAATATAATATGATTATATAAATTAATAATATTTTACACTACATGATACATAAATTATCATATATACTATTTACGAATGAGAAAAAAAATTAAAAAATCAAAAATCGATTTGAAATCATAATATTCGATTTGATTCAAATCGATTTTTTCTTATTTAATTCGTATTAAGTTCATATATTAAATATATATTAGGTTCGAATCAAATTTATAATTGAAAAGTAAAAATTAAAAAAAATCTAATTAAATTATTATTTTTATTAGTTTTTATATATTTTAAAATTTTTATAAAATAAAAATAATTATTTTATATCTAAATATATTTAAATATATTAAAAATCATATTGACATAATATATAAAAACAAAAAATTAAATTTTAAAAATCGATAAATTGATTCAAATCGAACTAATAGAATTCATAATATTATACATTATTTAAAAAAATTGAATCAAATTTAAACTATTATTACTCTTACTGTTATTTATAGAGATCTTATATATATATATATATATGATTGAAAAAAATTACAGCAAGATCAATTAATTTGATCGTTTTAATTTTCTAATTTAATTATGAACATAATGTCAGATGTTGGACAAACTTGCTATAATTACGAATTATTGATGACCAATTCCATCATAGAAGAAGAAAAATGACATGTTGATGTTTATAATAATTAATAACTAGTCAATTTACAGCCAAGAAAGAAATGATAAAACATCCACCAAACATAACAAACATTGTCCCCTCATAGTCATAGTCTTTACACCAGCCACTCCGTCAATGGCAACAAACTTTGATTATATACTTTTATTCTCGTGCTAATATTATCTTATATATACAAAAATCTAAAAAAAAAAATCATTCACCATGAACAAAACAAGTAAAAGCTCTTATTAATCCAATATCATTAAAAAAAAAAAAGGAATGAAAGAGGAAAAAATATCCTAGCTTGAAGGAAAGAAGTGGAATTGAATATTCAATTTTTTTTTTTTAATCTAAATCATCTGTTATGCAAAGGATTTGGACCTGTATGAATTTTTCTCTTTTCATCACCAAAAACTTCATCTCCATCTTTAACTTTATGATCATGTTTTCCAGCTTCAAAATTACCATGGGATTGAACAGGTCTAAACTGTTGAGAAGAAGCTGAAAATGTTTTGAAGCTTCCATGCCTAGCAGATCCATGATCATGAATTGAAGTACAAGTTGAAGATTCTAACTGAAACAACAAGAAAAACAGAACCATTAAATAAAAGCAAGTATACTTTTTGCTTAGACCCAATTGCTGCTTCATATTCTTCAAAATTCAGACACTCAAACCATGCATGGATTAATCCTTTTTTAGCCCAAAAACCTAGACAGCAAAAGTAAACCAACAAACAATTAAACTTTCTCGTCGGGATCAGATACCCAAAGGGCCCCTGAAAGAAACTGGTCGAAACAACACTCCCTTAGTGGCTTTATTTCTTTTCTTTTTTTTAATCTTTTGGTATGTGGTTTTTCTGAACTTGTTGGGGGGTTTGTTGGTTTTTTCCTGACGGGAAACCCTAGGAGTTTGGGCTCTGAAAAAGAAAGAGTTTAACAGTATTAGGAGGAGATTGAAATTGCAATAAATGGGTGCAGAAAGAGTTTTGGATTGGAATTTGAAGACTGATATGAGTGGCCATAGCTTTAATATGGGAAACTTAATGAAGCAGCAAGAAAAGTTGAGATGCTGCTTTCTTTTGGAGAATTTGCTGATTTTTTCTTTGTGATTTTGTTGGATATATCTATGCATCTCACTTTGTCTACCATCTAGCCATATGGTTAAAGTTGTAGTACTAATAAAAGTATTTTGTAGCCAATGATGTTTTGCCTTAGCGGTAAAGAGAAAGTCTTAAGATTTAAGGTTTTAAGTTCAAATCTTATTGGGTGTAAATTTGATTATTTAGTTAAAGTCATAGTTTATTAGTTTATTATTTATAGATATAATAAATGATTATATAAATATAAATATTTAATAATTATGAGTTTGATTATAAGTGTAATTTCAAAATATATATATTATATGATTGGTAGAAAGTAAAGAAAATCTAAAATTAACAAAGGAAAAAATATTTTCATCTTGAAAATTTAGATTTAATTTTGAAGTAAGTGAAGTGATATTGGTAAGAAAAAAGATAATTATCTTTTATTATATAACTTAAAATTTTTATGTAAAAAAAACCCAAAAAAAGTCGAACTTTACTCTCATCTTTCTAGTTCAGAAGAGATGAAAAAAGAAAGAAGAAAAATTTTAAAAATAAATATATAAATTATTTTAATTCGTCCATATTCTTTTTTTTTTTTTTTGGAATAGTTGAATTTTGAAAGCATTTTATAAACTACATAAAGGAAAAAAATCCAATTTTCTTCTCTCAACTTATTTTCTTCCGACCTCATCATTTCACAACCTTTCCTCTCATTCTCTCCCTCCATCATCAAATGTAGACTTTAAATTTTTGGCTTTAGGGAAAAGCTATTGCTATAATCGTGAAATTCAACTAAAAAGTGCTTTTCAAATTTGCATGCGTTGTATCTTATTGTCTATTTTGTTTTATAAAGAAGGCTATCGGAGAAGAGAAGTTGAGATTAAAATTTTTAGTAGCTATAACGTTATATTTTAAAAGTAATTGAATGAATTAATTAAATTAAATTTAAGATCGATTCATTTAATTTTTGAATTTATATCAATCACTTCATTAATTTGTTAAATAAAAATTTTGATTTAAATTTTTTATTATTAATATTTAAACTTTTTTTCAAAAAATAACAAATAAAACTTGTCTAACCTAAAATTTTTTAATTCAAATCCTTATATGGATACGCTTTAAAGAGATGGGAGAAGATTATGCTTCAAAAAAAATTTTAAGACTTGGAGGATATGTATTCATTGATAAATCAAACTCTAGTCATTATTATTAATTTTATGAATTATAAAACAACTTAATTAAGTTAATCCTAACTAATAAAAAAACACAGATCTTGTGAATATTTAGCAATTAAGTAGTATCTAGTTATTATGTTGCTTGCCTCAGCTTTTGCAGCTATGCGTTTAGACTACTTATGAACACTTTTTCTTTAGGCATGAGCAAAAGAGCCGGTTTGACCAATATAATAGTAAACTTTTAGTTTTTTTGATCAAGATAAATCTTAAAAACTTCAAACATTAAAAAAAAAAAAAAGGAAAGAGTTGTTTTGGGTACTTTCAATTCCTACCGTTCATCTCCTGTATGTTTCAATTGGTCTTGCTTGCTGTCATCTTGCAGACCATGCATTGGAATAAAGCAATGTAAAATATAGCGGGAGATCAGAGCCCATGCGATATAAAAGGAGCCATATCTAGAATTTTCATAATGAATTAGACCCACATGGACCCACCACTTTTGGTAGTGCTCAATTTTAGAAAACACTATGAGAATTGAGAAATGAATGCACCACAGCTTTGACTGATTGAGTTTGCACCAAGAAAAAAGATGAGAGAATGTGGTTATTGAGTCCATTAGGCATCATTCAGGCTAAGAAATATATAAATTGGTGGGCAAGCAAAGAGACATTTAGAGGGAGAGGTCTCATCTCTTTAATTATTTTTCACCTTTTTGTTCTCTTTTTCGTTTTTACTGGTCAAACCGATACGCTGCTCTACCATCATTTTGATATCTCAATAGCCATCATTACCGATGACTCCTGAAGAAACTTGATTTTTCCCCTTGCTTGTTGTTACATTGATAATGCGTCTTATAAGAACAAATTTACTGAGCAAAAAGGTTTTTTTTTTTTTTGAAATTCCATGCAAAGTCTATCGGAAAACAACTCAACATTCAAACTTGAGACAGTGAAGTTGATTCTGTAAAGTGGGAGAGTTTTTTTTTTTTTTCTTAAAGAAGTGGGACTTGAACATTAAATCTACTAAATAACATCTCTTAATGATAGTTCCATGAAGCAACGCTCACAAAAAAAAAAATGTTAGAACTGCAAGAGTAAACGGCCTAGAGCATGGTTTAATGATTCTGCCATTGGTATGCCTCCCAGCATGGACACAACCACGGATGATTGTATTTCCTTAATTGATCATCTTTTGAGAGCTTAGGGACAGCAGAACCAGAAAGCATTTGTTGTTATAAAATATGTGATGTTAACGGTTCGTAATTTAATGATTCTGCTGAGTGCGCTTACATTAACATAAGCAGACATAGCTAACAGCCTAACATATCTTTTACTACGGAATACAACATTCCCATTCACCGTGAACACCAAAGAAGATATTTTCTATATGTACCCTAAAAACAAGAAAAGAAAAGAAGTGGATATTTTCTCCAATGTTCGTTTTAGGGATTTGCTGTTAGATTTTTCTCCCCTCCATTATTTTCCAATACATTTTTTTACATTTTTTTAATCGTCATTCACATGCACAAGATCCATAATTTATGAATGTGTTAATGGATATGTTATACATTATAAAGTGTTAAATTTTTAATTTCAATAATTAAAAAATAAATCTTGATAATTTAAAAATAATAATAATAATAATAAATGTATTGAAGAGTAATAGATAAAAAAAAATTAATAAAGGGATCCCATCCCTTTCACAGTTCTTCTGGTTTAAAGTATAGGCTTGAATGAGCCTTTTATTCACTGGAAAATACAAAAATTCATCATTAGAGATGCTACAATTCCTATTCCTCGCAATGGGCATGGGCAGCTTTTCCTTAAGCTTCTAGATACTTTTAGATATCCCCCATTGCCAAAATAACAAACACTACTACGTATATGACATGGGTTTCTTTTATTTTCTATAGCGATGTACATTGTGCATTTAACATATCGTGGAATGAATGATATCCCCCATTTGTCCAGGATTATAATTACAGGTATTTCTCTTTATATCTTGGAGGCATCAGTGGTTACCCGGCTCAACGCAATCGCTGTCTTGGAACCAGATTGGCGACCCAGATGCTCGCTGATGAAATCCCCAGCCAACATGAGCTTTGCCAAATCCACATTTGTTTTTACACCAAGGCCGGTGAGCATATAGACCACATCTTCAGTAGCAACATTCCCTGAAGCTCCCTTGGCATATGGACAACCACCCAAGCCAGCTACAGATGCATCCACCGTACTAATCCCCATCTGTTGAGAGAACATTGGAAGATACTAAAATCAATATCGTGTTGCAATAGTCTTCACAGTCCATAAGAGCGATGAAAAAAAGAATACTAGCTGCCAATGCTCTGCAATCACAGTTTACTTGAAACAACACAGATTAGACTATTTAATCAGGGGTGGTAGGGTTCAAAACCAGTGGCACGGTATGCTGTGAAAAAGAGACAGCAAGTATTTAGAGGAACCTTGTCTCGTTATTTAACTTTCAAGTAAAGCTTGTATTAGGCCTACTGCTACTGGTTTTGAACTGTGTGTTAAGTCATACTATAAAGGTTCATAGTATAAAGGAACTAATTGTCATATTTTGCTTTGTATATATGGTTTGACTGCATTTGTTGTAAGGCTTACTTGAAGAGATACTAAAATATTTGCAAGAGATTGCCCATAAGTGTCATGGAAGTGGACAGCAAGCTTGTCAACAGGAACAACGGCCATTACTGCTTCAAGCATGGGAACCACAGTACCTGTGACAAAAAGAAACAGCAAAGAATTCGAAGGACTAATATTTGAACCCCATAAATAAATCCAGGAGAAGAACAAGATTTTCAGAGAATTCTACATGCTTCTTGCATTGGAATTATAAAGAACCATAAATTCTTCTAGTGATTAGTATCAGCATAAAACAGCAACTCCTTTTTGGTTTTCACATTTCTTAACCTTGAAACGAAATCATAAAATAACTAACTACAAAGGATGCATGCTGGATGCAAATATGGATGCATGCATGCATCTATCTCTGTGTATGCAAACTTGTAAAGCGTATAAAAAGAGTAGGAGAAAAAGAATATGGAACAATTAATTGCAATATTCTATTGTTCTAATTTAGTTTGAAATCAAATAATAGGTTATTGCAATTAATTATTTCATTTTATTTTTACTATTCCAATCAGCTCCACAAGTTGTTTACCACCACATGAACAAAAGCAATACAAAATTTTAAAATTCTAAATGATGAATATAAAAATAACAAATGGAAAAAGCTTGCTAGAAGAAAGCAAAAATTCCAACAATAAAAAATATAATAATCTTCCTACTCAACCCACATGCTTTTGTTTCTAAAAAGTGACGGTCTAGGCTCTAGAGCATTACCAGGGGTGCCAACTCCAATTGTATCCCCAAGGGAAATTTCAAAACAACCCATATTGTGAAGTTCCTTTGCCACATAGGCCACTTTGGATGGAGGAATTGCTCCTTCCACTGGACATCCAACCACACATGACACATACCTGTAAAATTTGAGCACCATACCAGCCAAAATCAATAAAGCACAAACAAATACTCCAAATAGAGTTATATTGCATTTGACATGTTATAGAACCAAAATTCAGAATTAGAGCAGCAGAAGAGATATTTAAATATATTTAACTACAAAACAAAATTCAAATATCAATTAACAAGTTATAATTCAAAAGTCCACTGTGAAACAACTTTTATACCAGCAAAACATGCTGAGTTCATTATCAAGCCTTCTCCAGGAAATAACTTGAAATAGATAAGAAAATATATACAAAGAGATAAAGCTTAGAAAGGCTGAAGATGGCTGAAATTTTGCAAATTTCATATTTCCAATGATTCTGTACAGCAAACATCACTAAGACAAAGGAAATAACCATATACACAAATCAAGCAGAACTTTCTGTAGAAATTGTGCACATTTGAAAATCTGCTTTTCTGCCAAAGCATTTGGTGCTGTGTTCCAGTCATTTAATACCAATGAGAATATACATCATTCAACTAAACTGAAAACAGGACAGTCAAATATTGGAGATATTGCTCAGGGAACAAGATTTTTTTTCTTTAGCTAAGTACAGAGAAGAAAACAGCAATAGTAGCTATAGCTCACAAAAATAATGACAATAAGGTTACAGAAGACCTACCCACGTACAGGAACTGAAAGCTTCTTAGCAGCATTACAAACAGCACGGTAGCGCACAAGGCTTTCCTCAATGCTACAATTAATGTTTGACTTTGAAAAGGACTCGGAAGCAGATGCAAAGACTGCTACTTCTTTTGAACCTGCTGCAACAGCTGCTTCAAAGCCCTAGAAAAAATAGATGCAGCAGATCAGGAAATTTCTATGACATCACCATGCCATGGTTAATACCTCTTTTGTTTTCAAGAGAAAATTACCAACCTTTATATTAGGAGTGAGAACCGGCAATCTGGCATCCTCCAAGTTGCAAACTCCTTTCATTACATCTTTTGCATCTGCTAGCTATATAAAAAGGTAAAGAATGAATCAAAAACAGGTTATCTCAAATATCAGCAAGAAATAAATAAAGTATCTCACTTGCATCCAACAATAATTGTTTCCAATGGAATAAGTTTGTAAACATGTAAGGTTCTCAAGTAAAATACACCAAAATGCATAGATAAAAATATGCATACAGATACACGTACAAAAGAGGGTTATCTCAAATATCAGCAAACATACACATACATTTAGTAGGTTATGCATGTACGCATGCAACAAAGACACAGCACAAAGAGGAGAAAAAAACCTATTTTGCTACAAATGATAATCCATAAGAACCTATGGCAGCAAGACTACACAAAGCTTCTGTGCAAAGAAAATTGCATCAAACCATTCAACTTTGACTATAAATACATTTTTCAATATTTTCCCTAGGGGTGTAAACGAACCGGACATGAACGAACATTGCTATGTTTGTGGTTCATTCATTTATTTTTAGGGTTTTTTGTATTCGGTAAGAAATTTTTACACTATGTTCAAGCTCAGTTTGTTTAGATATTAGAATCTTTTAGCTCAAATTGAGATCGGTTTGTTTAAGTTAAATGAACTTGTTCGTAAACATTAAACTAACATATTCACGAACATAAAGTAAACTAAGAAATTGATCTTGCAAATCAATGACTTAGGCTTTCAAGAGTGAAGGGGACATGCCTATTTATAAAGAGTTTTCTTCCCTACATTGGTTTTCCAAGCTATGTGGGATAGAAAAACTATAAACAAAAAATCTCCTCTATAACTTATTTATTGGCCGTTTTAGGCGATTAAAAAGTATATTTACAATAATATTTTTAAAACATTATGAAAGATTTTTAATATATGTTAAGTGTACTTTTCAATGTATTAATATTAAATTGTGATTAAAATCTTCTTAAAAAATATTTAATCATAAAGTAGTCATCTTAAAAGGAATAAAAGCAAAATATAAACAAGTATTTATTGCATTTATTGAATTTGTTCACGAATGTTAAACAAAGTTGTTCATGAACATAGACAAACAAAGCAAACCTCTATTCGTGTGCGGTTCGTTTATTAAATGAACATGAAAATGTTGTTCAAGATTGTTTGTTTAGCTTAATAAACAAACATAAATCGAATATGTTCACGAACAATTTGTTGAAAACTCTTTTTTTTTTTACAACCCTAATTTTCCCTAAGTTTCATCCTTATATCTGAATGGACAGCAGGAATCAGATAAAAAAACAATCAGCAAAATACAGATTGATGTTTCTGTTTTCAACAATGCACAACTACAAAGATTTCTTTCTCTATTCTTTTACCAAGTTGACCATGTGATATAAGCTTCAAATACTGAAGTTTAATAAGAAATAAAGCCAAAGATTTGAAAAGCATAAATGTCCCTATACTGTTAAAAAGAAAGCAGGATGATAAATTTTGGTAGAGTTTTTAAAGGCAGTATTTAGTGGAGTAAACAGTAAAGATAGAAGCCAAGACTGGTAGCAAAGGGATATGCGCAGATATATGGAGTAGATTGTTTTGATTCCTTTTCAACAGTGGCAAAGATGACATCTATTCACTTATTTCTTAGTTTTGCTGCCGCGTGTAAATGGGCATTACATTAGTTGGATGTGAAGAATGCTTTCCTACATGGTGACTTGACTGAAGAGGTATATATGGAGCAAACACCGGGGTTTGTTGCTCAGGGGGAGTCTAGGAAGGTGTGCCATTTGCATAGGTCTCTGTATGGTTTGAAGCAATCTCCACGCGTGTGGTCTGGCAAATTTAGTGCAGCTCTTGTTCAGTATGGCATGAAGCAGAGTGAGAAGGATCATTCAGTATTTTATATGCGGCAGAGTTCTAGCCTTATATTGTTGGGAGCGTATGTAGATGATATCATCATCACTGGCAATAATAGTGCAGGGATTGACAGACTTAAGATGTATCTTAAGTCCCAATTTGAGACCAAGGATCTTGGTCAATTGAAATATTTTCTAGGTATTGAAGTGGCGAGGTGTAAAAAAGGGATTTTTGTATCTCAGAGGAAGTATGTGTTGGATATTTTGAGGGTTTCAGGCTTGTTCCATACCAAGCCAATTGACACACCGATGGATCCAGGTATCTAGCTTTCTCCAAAAGATGGCACTTTACTTGAAGATCCCACACCTTATAGGAGACTAGCAGGAAAACTGAATTACCTGACCATGATGAGACCTGATATATCTTTTCCAGTGAGTGTGGTTAGTCAATTCATGGCAGCCCCCAAAGATACTCACTGGAGAGCGGCAATGCCCATCCTCCGATATTTGTTGAGAAATCCTGGAAAGGAGATACTCTACAATTCTACTAATAATGGGGGTATTCAAGCCTATGTAGATGCAGATTGCACAAGCTCTCCCATAGATAGAAAGTCTACATCTGGTTATGCTATCTTCCTTGGGAGTAATCTGGTGTCCTGGAAGAGCAAGAAACAGCAAGTAGTTGCTAGGTCTAGTGTAGAAGCAGAGTATAGAGCCATGGCTTTGTGTACAATAGAGGTATTATGGATGGTTCAATTCTTAGATGAAATTGGGCTTTCAGTTCAAACCCCTACAGAGTTATGGTGTGATAATCAGGTGGCGATTCATATTGCCTCCAATCCAGTATTTCATGAAAGAACTAAGCATATAGAAGTTGATCATCATTTTATTAGGGAAAAGTTGCAGAGTAGAATAATATTATTAAAGTGTTAGTGTATACGTGCGTGTGAGTTGGAATATTATGGCAATATTCCATGGGAGACAGATTAGGAGGGATTAATTGGTAGCATTAATGTGTAATTTGTAATTGATTCTCTTTCCTTAGTATTGTCTATATAATGAAAGGCTAATCCAAATGATTAGCAAGTTGCTCTCTAAGGCCTTAATTCTAACAAAGATAACTAGGCTGTTGGACGCTGTAGTCAATGGAAGTAGCACCAGGTGGACAAAGAAATATATAAAACAAGTGAAACAAAGAAATGCAGACACACATTAGGCAGTAGCAAAAATAACTACTCAAACTGAGGACCACAAATCATGAACTACATTCTGCTGAAGAAGCAAAATCGGTAGCCATTCCCTTGCAAGCCAAGGGCAAATCTGGAATTAAACTCAAAAACACGGCCTACATTGCTCATGGTTATAAAGTCAACTCTAATTTTTTATGGACTTAATTTGAAAACCAACTTTAAAAAAATGCCAAATTGAAACACCAGGCACTTTAAGGGTTAACTAATGAACATCGTGTTCATCCTCTAAAGGTTATAAATATAACTATTTTTCATTTCAAATGAAAATGAAACCATAGAAAAAAAAATACTGAAGGAACTATCTCAATCTATAACAAGCAAGTCACGATACCTGAGGAACCCATTTAGGAGATACAAAGCTTGTAGCTTCAACAACAGGCAACCCTGAAGACACCAATCTCCGGATCAATTCAATCTTTACAGAAGTAGGTACAATATTCTTCTCATTTTGTAATCCATCCCTCGGACCAACTTCTACTATCTTCACAAACTTTGGTATACCTTTTAAAAACTGCTTCACATGAATAAAAATTTTTAGATGAAGCAACTCAAGTTTATTTTGGTACCAAACACATGATATTAACAAGAAAAGGCAACAGTATCTGAGCTTCAGAAATATTAGATAATGAAAAACTAGATAAACCACATTCCACACATACAGACAGAACATATTGTATATGTCAGAAAAGAAAGCCCAAGGTCTTTAAATAATCCAGGAAATTAATATTACAGAAATTCCTAAAAGTTTTAAGAGAAATGAAAAAAAAAGAGTTCTCTTCAGATTATTTAATTACCTTATTTGTTATACCCCGTGTACCTCTGTCATTGCACTTGGAGCTATATTGATGATCTGGCAAGTACCTTGAGTCACAAACATGTCCAGATTTGATCTGATTCTTGCTTAAACTTGAAGCCCTTCGGTTCAAGGCTTCACCTTCAGAAACATCCCTCATGTGTCTCCTCCATGGGAATGCCTCCCCTGTATATTCTTCATAATCCTCACTGGAAAACAGATGTTTCAATAATATGAATAAATTGATGGCTGATACATGGAGAATACTTACCATTCACAGATCATGGTACAGAAACAAGACAAAAAACGTAGGAAATCAACAATTGACCATATAGATTATAGACTAGATTGCAAGTCAAAACTAAAAGCATGCGTTTTTCCCTTTCACATCCTACAATCAACTTTTACAGAGAAAGGTGCTAATGCCATTCAAATGTTAGGATGATACACATTGATGGCTTCACCAAAGACAAAAGGAACTCCAAAAGATATGCTGAGTACTTTCTGAGTATATAATCAACAGAAACCCAATATGGACAAGAAAACCATTATCACTGAGAGTCAGAATGTATCCACCGTTAAGGTGTATGTGTGACCAGGGGAGTAAATGAGTCAACTTGCCTGTGAGCTACTCAACCTTGGCTCATTTATACTTGTGTTTGACTCATAACTATTGGACCGAGCATGAACTCAAGTAGCTCAAGCAAAAAGACAAGCCAAATTCAAGTACCAGACTTTTGATTTTTTAATATTTTTAAATATAAAATAATATATATATCAAATATAACATTTATTTACATATTTAGAAATTTTATTTGAGTTTCAAGTTCAAGTTCCAATGCATGACTGAGTCAAGTTTCAAGCTCCTTATTTGAGTTGAATATAATCGAACCAAATTAATTTGAGCTTGAGTAGCTTGATTATGTTTTCAAGCCATGCTTGAGCATAAAAATAAAGCTCAAACTTATTTTATCAATGGAAGAACTGCCAGGCCATTAGTTAATTTTTAAATTCTATTACTAAAATGACCCATCATTAGCCTTCAATGAGAAGATCAGCTTAAGTCAACCAAGACTAACAAAATAAAGTACCATATTTGCTTATGAGTTATAAACAGAGATGAAAACAACAGATTACTATAATACACTACAATTCAGTCTTGTATCTTTTCAGTGATTACTACAATACACTACAATTCAGTCTTGTACCTTTTCTGCGACCAAGATATTAATAATGTATAATATAAAAATAATTTCTACAAAAAGAAAAGAATTTTCTCTTTCAAATGGAATCAAAATTGTTAAATATAAAAAAAAAAGGGAAAATTGTCTCAAAATTGATACCGTCCCTTCCAAATTTTAGTTTTAACTTCAGGGAACAAAAAAGACTAGATGAGTGCTCTTAAGGGAACATTTCTACAGATATCAGTATCTCACTTACTTGCAACTATTAGATGTGCTGCAACTCCTCCCTTCAATCCAGCACTTTCCCAAGCCCCTATCATCGCCTCTAGGCCGACAAGCACTAGCTGAGAACCTCTGAATCCTATCAATAGAACTCATGCTAGGCAGCTTGTCAAAACCAAGTGGCTCCTCCAAACTCGACATGGTGAACAAAAGTCCAAAGGAAACACTGAAAAGTAGGCATAGCAAAAGTAAGAGCTTAGCCACAACAGTTAAATAAGGTCTTACTCGCTAGAGGAGATCAAAGGCAGAGAAATTAAGGATAATTTTATTCATTTCATGATTTAAGCTGCTAATTCCAGTATTTAGGGTAAAAAAGCATGCCATTCTTCAAAATATTTTTGCAGATCACCCAATGTATAATTACACGAGTGCGTATGCAAATACATGCACATTATACTTACCATATTGTGAGTCAAATCAAAATTACATATGAAAATGTAAAGCACTTCTCAAATCTCACTAAAATTATGTCACATAATCAGGAAAGAAGGGGAAATTATTCAACCAGCCACAGGAAAGAAAGAATTCTATCAAACTTAGGATGCAGATAATTTAAAACAATTGGAAGAATTAATTAAAGAAAATAATTAAATAAACAACTACAAAACAGAAGCAGCAACAAAAACCAGTAAGACTGCTGTAAGAACAGATGTCGTAGCTAAACTATGAGATTTTGCAGCCCACTGATTATAATCAATTAACAAAGAATTTCAAAATCCCATAAGTTAAACTGTACGAAAAGGTTTTTTTTTTTTTTCCTGGACACACATTTTGCCAGGCTCCAGCCAGAATATTCAAAACTACTTGCCTAATTCCGAAGAGTAAAATATTGCTGGCATTTACTCTTAGAAGCAAGAAAATTTTCAAATTAAAATATTTCAAATTCCTAGCCACCATAGGTAAACTATCATATGCTATTACGATTACCACCGGGTGCAACATAATATCTAACCATGGATTTTCAATTGAACTTTGAACTTTCACATTCTTCTCTTTTAGTCCTTTAAGATAATATATAACATAGTTGAATCAAGCCTTTTAACCAGTTCACATTGCTTTGAATTTTATAGGCAACCAAACAGCACAATAACCAGACATCAATCTACGCTAAAATGCAAACCTCTCAAATTCCTAAACCCTCTGTTTCAACTTCTAAGAAAAAAAGAGAAAAGGAAAAGGAAACTTTTATCTAAGCTCTAGACATTTTCCTATTTATTTGTGTTTTTAAAAGAAACAATCAACAAAAACAATTGAATTCATCCATCAAAATTCAAAACTAACCAACCAAAACAGAAAACATAACATTCAAATTCTCATTCCTTTTCCTTATTCGCCTTGCTAAGATTTTTCTCCGCAACCAAGCAGAAGAAAACAAATGCAAGAAGAAACCAAAGAAAAGATAAAAGGAAGCAAAACAGACCTGAAAATAAAGAGAATAGAGAGAGAGAGAGAATGAGTTACCAAATTAGGATATCTGATAAAAGAAAAGAAACAGAAACCCTAGAATTTGGGGGTTTTAAAATGCCCTGGATTTTTTTGGTTTCTCCAAAAAGAAATGGAGTTAGCTAAAGACGAAGGAAAAAGAAGAGAAGGTAACGCAACGTGAAGGAGGGAGTTGTTCACAATGTTTTTTCTTGTTTTAGTTTGGTGGGAGAAACTTGAATCAGTCGTTTTCAACCTTTTTCTTTCTATCTTTTTCATTTTTTAATTTCATTTTTTAATTAATTCTTCTTTTTTTCTGATCCCATAAATTCCATTGTTTTTTTCTTCAAAAATAATTGGAATTCAGAGTTTTGAATTTTTGTTGTGGCCAATGAAAGTTTGGATTAGATTGGATAATTTGTGTAATTTTATTGTATTTATTTTATATTAAATATGTATAACATATAAAGATTATAATTTTATAATTTATATTGATATATTAAATATAAATTTGTTTATTTATTTTTATTTAATTTATATATAATATCAAATTTAATAGGTAGGAGGAGGGAGAGGATGAAGTGGGAAAGGTGGTGGTAGGTAGTTCGCAGTTGGAAGGTAAGTCATTTACTATATTTATTTTTTAGTTCTTTTATTTCGCAGCTTATCAACATCACTCTTTTTAATAAATTTCTTTTATTTCAATAAATATCAGATAATGAAAAGATATTATTTCTAGGATTTGGTAATGCGTTAACTGAGATTATTATCGAAGGTTATTCCTTCCATCCAAAACTATTTGGTAATAGAGTTGAGAAAAAAAATTATGATTTTAATTTATTTAACATTAAAATTTAAATTTTTTATAGAATTAAAATTTTATGGTTTTTAATGTTAAAAGTATAAAAAATATATAAAAAATAATTTTAAAATATAAAAAGCAAGAGTTTTTTATGGTAAAAAAAAAAACATAATTTTAGAACATTCAAAAAAAAAAGAACAAAAAAAGGAGATAGAGGGAGTTTTATTTTAAATAAATCAAATTAGAGTAGTAAATAAGATAATTAAAAAAAGAATTAATAATTTGAAAATAAAAAAATCATAAATATTTATATTTAATTTTCAAAATTGTTAAAGGTCTTCTATAAAAAAATAATTAATTAAATTTTAGATATGAAATAACACATTTTTGCCATATAAATTCTATCAAATATCATTTTGTTGTTGATTTCCATTACATTATACTTTTTTCTAAGTAATCATATGTTTTTATGATTACTTGAAAAACAAATTTTATAATGAAAATATTATTCAATAATACTATAAATTTATTTTTTCTTGCATTAATAGAACCATTGCTCACCAAAAAAAAAAATAGTGATTGAGAGTGATTTTTTTTTGTCAAAAAAAGTTTAGAAGAATGAAACGTTACTTTGTTTTTAAGGATAAGGTAAGTCGTCAACTTATAAAAAATTTTATGAATTTTTTTTAATTTTTTAGATCTATAAATTATCTATCAATAAAAATTCATAAAAATTTGAACTTTAATATTTTATATCCTAACTTTAAATCTTAATTATTTACGTCAATTCTTATTGATGGTCGATAATGTTACTTGATAAACGTGCTATTTGTTTTATAAAATAGCATGTGATGAGCCTTTTTGCCAATTTCATTTCAATTGTTTTCAATTAACATTTTGGCATTTAAAAGGAAAATGAAGAGAAAATTGATTTCCTAGCGGTGATTTTCTTAGCTATCATTTTTATTGTCTTTAAATATCATTAATTTTAGATCTTTCTAAAAAAAAAGTGTTACATCAATACATGAAAATATTTATTTGATTCGGATCACTAGATTCCTTCACTATCTTAATTTTAAAATTTTAGTCATTTTATCATAATTTCATTAATTTAATCTTTATATTTTAATTAATTGTAAGATTAAAGATAATCATTTATAATATGAATATTTCATTATTAAATGATATGACACGACACGACACGATTATTTTGAATCGTTAAAATCTTTAAAAAAATTTTTTTGTCAATTTGATTACATACTTCTTTAGTTTCCTTAATTATAAATTACTATAATTACAATTAACAAAAAAATCAAAATAATTATTTGAGGCAGAGTGGTTAGTTGACAAAAAAAAAATCTTATAACTAAAATAAATAGTTCAACAAATTTAACGGTAAAATATTCATTATGTTAACAATTGATTTGATAAAAGTTTAAAGTTAAATTCATTAAAGTTATATATGGACTGAATCCTTAATATTGAGATAATATGTGGACCAATTTTTCACTTCAACCTAAAATTTAATATCATTTTATTTAAACAACAATAATTTAAATTTGATGAACTTGAAACTCTATTTAATAATAATAGCTCACATCAATCATTAATCCAATTTAATTGCTACTTCTTAATACAATAAAATATTAAAAATTTCTCCTAAGATTCACTCAAACACATAATTCAACCACCACTTTTTCAATTAAAAATTCTTATCTTATTTTTAAAATATTATTATCATACTCATAGTTGATAATATTTTTAAATTCTAAAAATAAATTTAAACAATTGATTAATTTAATAATTATTGATTATTTTAATTTTTTTAAAGAAAATTTTGACTAAATAAATTATTTAATTTTTTAAATTAAAGTAAAATATATTATATTTGATAGTTCAAATTAAGTGATTTTAAGTTATATATTTAAAATAATTTCAGTAAATGATTATTAATAAGATTCAAACATAAAATTTTTTATTAAAATAATAAATTTTAATTAATTGAGTCAATTATTTATTAATTTTTATTATCTTATTTAATTAATTAAAAGAAACATTTATCAATAACCTAAAGTCTTTGGCCAAGAAAAAGCATCTAAATTCATTTACTGAGGTTGACTACCGTCAATTGCCCAACTAATCTGGGGCCAGAGGCTAGTTCGCTTTAACGGCGGGGTACTAGCCTTCTAGAAGCTGCGGCGTAAAGGTTGTGGAGTGGTGGGCAAGAAAAATGGAAAAAAAAAAATCAGGGTCCCGTAGTATCATGCCAGGCGTATGAACCAAAATAAACATTTTTTAAGTTTTTAATCTATTTTTAAAGGCTCTCCTATTATTTATTTAACTGAAAAATTTTTTATGTATGAACTCTCTTAAATTTATTACTTTTAAATAAATTTAATGATTTATGTATTTATATAATATAAAATACTAAATTTTATATATTTATATTATAACTTACATAAAAATTAGATATCATAATTTATTTAACATAAAAATATAAAATATTTTTTTTATTAAATCTATTATAATTATTATTGAAATTTTAAATTACATCTTATTTATATCTTATTTATATTATATTATTATATTATATTTTAAATCATCCAATTTACCTTCACATGTATCTCCAACCAACACAAATATTTGATTTTGTGAAATTGTCCCACCTACTCTTGTTATACTATTATATGGTAGTTGGAGCTCCGAGCAAAACCTTGGCAACCTAATGGTACCACTATCTCACAAATTTTGGTGGTAGGGCATTTTAGAAAAAGACGGGTAGGCTTTGGGCGCAATCAATGTTCATCCATGTTATGGGTTATTTTCATTTCTCACATTTGGAGGTAAATGTTGATACAGAGTTCAAACTTCGATTTTAATCAAATTATTAAACGAGTCAATTTAATTCGATAAATTAATTTATTATTAAATTAATTTTGATGAATTATATAAATTTATTTTAAAAAAAATGAATATCACTCTGCCTGCTAGGCAGCTAGTATCTTCAGGAGTTCAACACTATTCTGATTGTTTCATATGCACCTTGGATAAAAATTACAAAATGGGATTAACTAGTTTCAATCATGCTTGATGGGCGGAAAAAGAGGTCGCCCTTCTCCAAACCAATCTCATTTACAAACTAATCATGGAATTCAGAGTAGAAATTGCTTTGACATTGTATCCTAACTACTAGGATGGAAAATGAAATTATGTTTGAGAACTTATGCTAATAATCAAACAGCTGAATATAATATATCACAGCAATAATGGAGGAAATATAAACATAAAATTGCACAGTAAAACTGCAAGCATAATGGATCTTGCTACAAAAAATATGCTTTTCATTTGAAAAAGTATGCATGTACCTTGTAAGGTAAGGATATCTGTTCCACAATAATAATATACAAGACCAGTCAAGACTCAAGCCAGCTAACTCTCAATATGTTTAGAGCCATGGAGCTCTCTGAATGCAATCTTCAAGCTGGAGTCTATAATTTCCTATTTTTCATAGTATTAACCATTCAAATCAGCCTTAACAGATGGTTAACAGGTCAAACTGCAACAATGAAAAGATGAGCTTTGTTATGGGAAGTTGGCCATCTGTTCAAACTAATGGCTTCACGGAACCAATTTCTCCACGATAAGTGATGGATCTGCCTTCATTCTCAGGCCTTTCCCGTATGCAGCAATGAGAAGAGCCTCAGCCTTTTCTTTAAAGTTGAAAAGAAAGAAGAAGCTAATGAGAAAACAATCGAGTTCACAAATGCCAATGAGAGAATATCTATAAACAAAATTAGGCTTAAATCAAGCTTTATCTTCCAATCTCAGGCCAACACTCCAAATCTACAATTTGATAGATGCACTTGCTAAGAGTAGCGAATAATGAGGAGCATGTTATCTACGATGCAGACTGCATGAATCACTGAAGATGTTTGGTGGCAGCAGCATATTTATGGTAATTATCAGTTTTTATTACTTCTGCAGACTGCATTTCTTTCGGTTGTTAAACATTGGGAATGATCTGTCACCATATATTCGAATGATGTGTTTGGTACATACGATTATAATAAAGATAGAATAAGATGATATTATGAATAAGATTAAATTAAATAATGTCATTTTATCTTATGTTTGATATATGTAAAGATTATGATATGATAATTTATTTATTAGTCAAAATTATCATTTTTTAGAGTTTATACAATTTAAATTATTGATGTAATTTTTAAGAGTATATTAAAATATGTAAGTTTAATCTCATGTATTAAAAATAAATTTCTCCACTTTAAGAGGATAGAATTATCTTATACCAAGAAGACTACTAATCCTCCTTGTAACCTTATCTTTTTCTTTAGATGCAAATCAAACATAATATAGAATAATTGTCATCCTATCTTATCCATCATTCTATACCAAACATCACCTAAGGTCCATATATAGGAAGGCCCTGAAACTACATGTTGGTTCTTGCTACTGTAAAAGACTTCCTGAGGATGAGGAAGCAACTATATCACGTAACTTC